TTGGTTTGTCCAAAGCAACAAAAAACAATTTTGCCCAACAAACAAAAAAAAACTAAAAAACTTAGTTGTAAGACTCGAACTAATGACCTATAAGCATAGACTATTATTCCGCTTAGCCACTTAGAGAAAACAAGAATGGATCAAGATAAAGTGACATGTAGGGAGAAGAGAAAAGAGCGATTAGCAGAAGAGAGCGTTTGGTGAATCATATATTTAATGAAAGCCATTGGCCAAACCTATCTTATCAAGAACATAATAACATGACAATGATATTAAGGCCCTTTCTTCTACTCTCTCATATGCTCTCATGTGCTTCTTGTCTCCTCTCACGTGGTTCCACCACCTTCACTTCCCCTCTTTTGTCCGTCCATTGACACGATACCCCACAACTCTCCATCATTATTAGGGATCTTATCATCCACCAAACGGGGTTAGTCTGGCTTAGCCCCATTTTAATCCCGGTATGCCAGACACTACGGGTTGGTCAGCCAAAGCATTTCAAAAAGAGTTGAAGATCAAAAGAATTGGTGGGCTTGAAGTTTCAATTAACCTCGCTGTGAGAAGAAATTAAGATGGGAAAGTAAAGGCATAGTCCCAACTTTGTATGCCTTTAATAGATACATCAAATATAAAAGGTGGTGAACACAATAATGTAATCATACAACTTTTATAATACAGTTGAGGCAGTTTTAAATCAAGCCTCGACATTTCAATAGTACTATTGCCAAGTATAATGCAAGAACCCAAAAGACGATTAATTAGTAAGTATTAACACCGGCGACCACCTCTGCAATTAAGAGCACCGGCATTGGAGGTGATGACACCAACAAGGGATGATGATTTGGCTCCTAAACTTGAAGCTCTGGCATAGCTAGCTCCAAGTCCTGATCCAGAACGTGTGAAAAAAGCTCCGTTTAGGAAAAGGTCTCCTTCTGATCTCCAGTTCCAATGCTTCCATTGCCACTGACCTGCATAGTCCCTCTTTGTCACCTGCCATATCCATACATCCCATCAGTTTTAGCTGTAAAGATCTAGATGACACTGAACAGGAAAGCGCTAGGATAAGTCTGTATATTTAGTTTGTGCTTCTGATAGCTATTAAAGCCATTTCCATCTTATTATACTAATCACACTTCTTTAGTAGAAGGGTTCTATTTGGCTACCATCACCATCTTTTGAAACTGAGTTACGACAACAGACAAGAAAGATCAGTCCTTTCAGTCGACCTACTCTTGTTAGAGTACAAAGTGGAGAGTTTTTGGGGATTCAAAGAAAGACAAGACAGTACCTCTTTAGCAAATCGGTTTCTCGGGGCGAGATATCGGTTTCCCTGGCTGTTGATAGTGGGACTCGCACTGCCACCAATCGCATACATTTCCCAGTGCGTGTAGTCATTGTTCACAACATGAAAATATCCATGCCTACATCTGCAATGACAAAGGTTTTTATGTCTTTAAATGTAACAAGTTTCCAAGGATCAAGATGACAGATCAGGCAAAGTTTGTACCTTGGCATTCTCTGGATAAGACCCTCACCAAAATGGTTATAAGCAATTGTAACCTGCATAACCTTGTCCCTTGTGTAGGTATCACTATGCCCCAATAGCATAACCTATCAGCACAAGCCATTGTCAATGACAACCAAATACTGAAATTAGAGACGGATCATTACAGCAAGCAACCAATTGAAGCGTCTTACCTCATTGTGGTGGGTGAGGTAATTGTTGGAGATGGTAATGGCTGTGGAAGCCATAACAGCATCGATGAGGCCATCAGCGCAGCTAGAGAGCGAATTGTGATCAATCCAGATATGACTCGACCCAAAAATGGAGATCCCATCTCCGTCGGCCATCGTCCTCCAGCCGTAATGCGACGGAGAGCTTCTAACCATGGCGTTGCCAGTGGGTTTACAGTCATGAATATGGATCCCATGGATGATGATGTTGGTCACGAACTGGATCG